TGGTGTGCGCTGGGGAAGGCATTTAGTTTTGTTGTGCAATAGTACAATGACAATAAAGCTATTATGTTCCGTTCCATTCCATTCCATCCAGTTCTATGTATTCGTGTATATACCTGGTGTTGCTTGAGTGTCATTGGGACCACCGCCTGCCTACTTTCTCCCTTCTCCAGCTCTGAGAAGGAAGGCTTTCCTCACAATGTCTTATTATTGCCACCTGGCAGACAGTACAGGGTGACAAAAGCAAGGACAAACAGACTGAGAGGCAGCTGTGGCTATGTTGAACCCCATGGCTTCACATTGATGTGGCATTGGGAGCTGTGCGATGGTGGTGGGAGTGTGGAGGGGTGGGTTTGTTGTTTTGTGGTGTGTGCTGGGGAAGGCATTTAGTTTTGTTGTGCAATAGTACAATGACAATAACGCTGTGATGTTCCCTTCCATTCCATTCCATCCAATTCTATATATTCGTCTATATACCTGGTGTTGCTTGAGTGCCATTGGGACCACTGCTTGCCTACTTTCTCCCTTCTCCAGCTCTGAGAAGGAAGGCCTTCTTTGCAATGTCTTATTATTGCCACCTGGCAGACGGCACAGGGTGACAAAGGCAAGGACAAACACCACCTGCCTACCTTCTCCAGCTCTGAGAAGGAAGGCCTTCCTCACAATGCCTTATTATTGCTACTTGGCAGACGCTACAGGGTGTTGAATGCCATAGCTTTGCATTGATGGGGCATTGGGGGCTGTGCAGTGGTGGTGGGCATCTGGAGAAGTGGTTGTGTTGTTTTTGTAGTGTGTGCTGAAGAAATCATTTAATTTAATTGTGAAGTAGCTCAATGACAATAAACCTACTCTATTCTATTCTATATTTTTGTATATACCCAGTGTTGCTTGAGTGTCATTGGACCACTGCCTGCCTCCTTTCTCCCTTCTCCAGCTCTGAGAAGGAAGGCCTTCTTCACAATGTCTTACTATTGCCACCTGGCAGATGGCACAGGGTGACAAAGACAAGGACAAACAGACTGAGAGGCAGCTTTCATCCTAGAGCTGAGGCTATGTCGAACTCTGTGGCTTTGCATTAATGTGGCATTGGGGGCTGTAAAGTGGTGTTGGGGGTGTGGAGGAACGGGTGTGTTGTTTTGTGGTGTGTGTTGGGGAAGACTTTTAATTTCGTTGTGCAATAGCACAATGACAATAAAGCCATTCTATTCTATTCTCTTCTATGTATTCATGTACATACCTGGTGTTGCCTGAGTGTCATTCGGACCACTGCCTACTTTCTCCCTTCTCCAGCTCTGAGAAGGAAGGCCTTCTTCACAATGTCTTATTATTGCCACCTGGCAGATGGCACAGGGTGACAAAGACAAGGACAAACACCACCTGCCTACCTTCTCCAGCTCTGAGAAGGAAGGCCTTCCTCACAATGTCTTATTATTGCTACTTGGCAGACGCTACAGGGTGACAAAGGCAAGGACAAACAGACTGACAGGCATATGTGGCTGTGTTGAACTCCATAGCTTCACACTGATGTGGCATTGGGTGCTGTGCAGTGGTGTTGAGGATGTGGAGGGACTGGTGTGTTGTTTCGTGGTGTGTGCTGGGGAAGGCTTTTAATTTCATTGTGCAATAGTGCAATGACAATAACGCTATTATGTTCCATTCCATTCCATCTAATTCTATGTATTTGTGTACATACTCAGTGTTGCTTGAGTGTCATTGGGACCACCGCCTGCCTACTTTCTCCATTCACCAGCTCTGAGAAAGAAGGCCTTCCTCACAATGTCTTATTATTGCTACTTGGCAGACGCTACAGGGTGACAAAGACAAGGACAAACAGACTGAGAGGCAGCTGTGGCTCTGTCGAAACTCCATGGCTTCACACTGATATGGCATTGGGAGCTGTGAGGTGGTGGTGGGAGTGTGGAGGGGTGCGCTGTGCTGGGGAAGGCATTTAATTTTGTTGCGCAACGCAACACCACAATAATAAAGCTATTCTATTCTATTCTACATAGGGATCCATAGGCTGTGCTTCTCCCATGGAGGGACTGAGATCTGGATAAGCACATGTCGTGGAGAGTGTGCGCCTTTGGTGCACGCCAAGGGTTCTATAGCCAGCGCATTTTGGCCGTGGCGTTCCATGCGAGGCTGCCTGTGATGCAAGGCAAAGCTGTTGTTGCAGCCGCCCCCCACCCAGCTGGGAAAGCCTTAGGGCTTGGAGGTGGGGCAGCCGTGCCAGCGTATTCCTGGCGCTCTCTGCCTCCCGGGAGGAAAGCGAGATGGAAGGGAGCCAGGGAAACACACCATGAAGCCGAGAGCAGGTGGTGGCAAAGAGAGGGGGTCTTGCGGAGGGGAGGGGGCAAAGGGAGGGTCAGGAAATGCAGACAGCCAGGGAAAGATTCAGTGGGGCTGGAAAAGAAAGAAGAGGCAAGAATTGTGAAGAGGCCCAGAGTTTGGGTAAATAATAATAATAATAATAATAATAATAATTATTATTATTATTATTATTATTATTAATGGAGCTCCTTTAAGGTTTCCCCGAAAATAAGACCTACCCTGAAAATAAACCCTAGCATGATTTTTCAATAAGCCCAACTTCAAAAATAAGCCCTAGTTACCGTTCAATTTCAAAAAATCAATTTTGGAAAATAAGACCTACCCCAAAAATAAGCCCTAGTATTGAAGGTTTCCCCGAAAATAAGACCTACCCTGAAAATAAACCCTAGTATGATTTTTCAATAAGCCCAACTTCAAAAATAAGCCCTAGTTACCATTCATTTTTAAAAATTCAATTTGGGAAAATAAGACCTACCCTGAAAATAAATCTTAGTATGATTTTTCAATAAGCCCAACTTCAAAAATAAGCTCTAGTTACCGTTCATTTTTTAAAAAGTCAATTTGGGAAAATAAGACTTACCCTGAAAATAAGCCCTAGCATGATTTTTCAGGATGCTCACAATCGACGCCCAGCTACAAAACTAAGCCCTAGTTCATAAAAAAGTCAATTTCTAAAAATAAGACCTACCCTGAAAATAAGCCCTAGCACATTTTATTCAGGATATTTGAGGATTCTTGGAATAGAAACTCAACTTCAAAAATAAGCTGTAGTTATGGTTCATAAAAATGTCTATTTGAGGAAAATAAGCCCTACTCTCAAAGTAAGCCCTAGCATGATTTTTGAGGATGCTTGAAATGTAAGTCTAACTTCAAAAATAAGCCCTACTTACAGTTCAGTTTTTTTACAGTTTTTAAAAAGTCAATTTGGGGAATAAGCCCTACCCCAAAATAAGCCCTAGAACGATTTTTCTGGATTTTTCATGATTGCTGAAAAATAAGATTGATTTCAGAAATAAGCCCTAGTTAAGTTCATAAAAATTCTATATCCGAAAATAAGCCCTGCCCTGAAAATAAGTCCTAGTATGACTTTTGAGGATGCTGGAAATATAAGACGGACTTCAAAAATAAGCCCTACTTAGTTCATTTTTTAAAAGTCAATTTGGGAAAATAAGCCCTACCCCAAAAATAAGTCCTTGCACAATTTTTCAGGATTTTTCAGAATGCTCGAAATATAAGATCGACTTCAGAAATAAGCCCTAGTTACAGTTCATAAAAAGTCTATCTCAGAAAGTAAGCCCTACCCCAAAAATAAGGCCTAGCACAATTTTTCAGGATGCATGAAATAGAAGCCCAGCTTCAAAAATAAGCCCTAGTTACAGTTCGTAAAAAAGTCAATTTGGGAAAATGAGACCCACCCCGAAAACGAGCCCCTTATAATGCATTGTTTTGGAGCCAAAACAAATGTAAGACCCTGCCTTATTTTCAGGAAAATGGGGACTATAGTAGACTTTCAAGACAACGAGGCCGGGGGGGGGGGGGGGGGGGGGGGGGGGGGGGGTATTGGTAGACCCTGGATAGACGTGGTTTCTGGTTGCTTGAGAGTTTCTCTGATGGCTTCTCCTTGGGGTGCAAACGTCCCTCTGGTCTTCCTGAAGCCAGCCAACAGGGAGGTAGTTTCTGTTGACCATTTCCGCTCCCTTGGCAGCCACCTCTCAACCAAAGTCAACATCGACACCGAAATACAATACCGTCTGAGCTCTGCGAGTGCAGCCTTTTTCTGAATGAAGCAGAGAGTGTTTGAGGACCGGGACATCCGTAGGGATACCAAAGTGCTTGTCTATAAAGCTATTGCCTCTCAAGCCTGCTATACGCCTGCGAAACGTGGACTGTCTACAGACGTCAACATGGACACTGAAATTCAACACTGCCTGAGCTCTGCAAGTGCAGCATTTTCCCGAATGAAGCAGAGAATGTTTGAGGACCGGGACATTAGTAGGGATACCAAGGTGCTTGTCTATAAAGCTATTCCCCTCCCAACCCTGCTCTATGCCTGTGAGACGTGGACTGTCTACAGACGTCACATGCAACTCCTGGAACGATTCCACCAGCGCTGCCTCTGGAAAATCCTGCAAATCTCTTGGGAAGACAGGCAGACAAACGTCAGCGTGCTGGAAGAAGCAAAGACCACCAGCACTGAAGCGATGGTCCTCCGCCATCAACTCCGCTGGGCTGGCCACGTTGTCCAGATGCTCGACCACCGTCTCCCAAAGCAGTTGCTCTACTCCGAACTCAAGAACGGAAAACGGAACGTTGGTGGGCAGGAAAAGAGATTGAAAGATGGGCTCAAAGCCAACCTTAGAAACTCTGGCATAGACACCAAGAGAGAACTGGGAAGCCCTGGCCCTTGACCGCTCCAGTTGGAGGTCAGCTGTGACCAGCAGTGCTGCAGAATTCGAGGAGGCACGAATGGAGGGTGAAAGAGAGAAACGTGACAGGAGGAAGGCGCGTCAAGCCAACCCCGACCGGGACCGCCTTCCACCTGGAAACCAATGCCCTCACTGTGGGAGAAGATGTGGGTCAAGAATAGGGCTCCACAGCCACCTACGAACCCACAAGGAAACCCATCATGGAAGACCATCTTACTCGTCCAACGAGGGATCGCCTTAAGTAAGTAAGTTTCTGTAAGTGGTTTTATTACTGGTTAGGTTTTTACAAATTCTGAAAGCCGAACAGATTTATTTTCAGATCCCACTTTTCTTGTTTTTTGCAAAGTCTAAAACATCAGAACAACCAATGAAGGGCTTAGGACTAATTCGAAGGAACCAAACTTTTGTTGACGTTTTCTCTTGTGTTTGTTTTGTTTGTTCTTTGCCCTGGTCATAAATATACAGAAAGGAACAAGGGTTTTGTGTGTGTGTGTTTGCTTGTTTTAGGGAACCACGTTTTGGGGGGTGACCCAAATTTGGGGGTGAAGGGGGAGAACAGTATATAAGGCACATGACAGTCTCTGGAAATCACAGGCGCGTTCGCCGACTTAAATTAAACCGCTGTTTCCCTCGCTCCCCCGGTCCACAAAGCTGTACAGGAACACAAATGTTGTGCGGCACGTTTCTCTTCCAAGTCCATCCTCAGTTCCGCCATTCTTCCCCCTACGCTGCGGCTCTAGAACCCAATGCGAGAACGTCTCTAGCAAAATACACTTGGAATTCAACTAAGAATAATTTTTTCTTTCCAAAACGAAAAAGAAAAACGAAAGAAAGGAGGAAAGGGAAACGAGAGTCATCAGAAAAGATTCGTGAGCGTGGTCTGCGGGGGGCTCCGGGATTCGTGGACGTCCAAGGCGCCGGGCACAGAGGTCAAGACCGAGGTGACCGAGGGCATGCTGGGGTTGGTTAAGTCCGTCAAGGTGGTGGGGGTGCTGGAGGGGCTCATGGAGGTGTTGGAGATCTCCGAGGCCGGGCCCGAGGGGGTGCCGGCCTGGAGCGCGCCCTCCGAAGCCTTGTCCACCCCCGTCGTCTCCTGGCGCAGCAGGTTCCGCCGGAATTTGGCACGAGCGTTCTGGAACCAGACCTAGAACCGTCCAAGACAGAGAAGAGGCAGCGTGAGACACAGCCGGGGGCTTGGTTGCAGAAGCAAGAGCAAAAGGACCCTGCCTGGGTTGTCCGGGTGTCGGAGGGGTCGCTGCCCCCTTGCTTTCGTCCCTTCTTTCTCTTTCCTGTCCTTGTTACCTTTCCCCTTCCTTTTCTCTTCCTTCCTTCCTCCTCCTTTCTTTCCCTTCTCTTTCCTTCTTTCTTTTCTCCATTTCCCTCTTTTTTCTCCCTTCTCCAGCTCTTCCTTCTCACAATGTTTCTCATGGCTCATTCCCTCCTTCCTTCCTTCCTTCCTTCCTTCCTTCCTTCCTTCCTTCCTTCGCCATTCTCTTCTTTGACTCCTTCTTTCCTTTCTCCATTTCCCTCTCCTTTCTCTCTTCTCCAGCTCTCCCTTCTCACAATGTTTCTCATGGCTCCTTCCTTCCTTCCCTCCTTCTTCCTTCCTTTCTTCGCCATTCTTCTTTGTCTCCTTTCCTTTCTCCATTTCCCTCTCCTTTCTCCCTTCTTCAGCTCTCCCTTCTCACAATGTTTCTCATGGCTCCTTCTCTCTTTCCTTCCTTCCTTCCTTCCTTCCTTCCTTCCTTCCTTCCTTCCTTCCTTCCTTCATTCCTTCGCCATTCTCTTCTTTGTCTCTTTCTTTCCTTTCTCCCTTTCCCTCTCCTTTTCCTCTTCTCCAGTTCTTCCTTCTCACAATGTTTCTCATGGCTCCTTCTTTCCTTCCTTCCTTCCTTCCTTCCTTCCTTCCTTCCTTCCTTCCTTCCTTCCTTGGCCGTTCTCTTCTTTGTCTCCTTTTTTCCTTTCTCCATTTCCCTCTTCTCCATCTCTCCAGTTCTTCCTTCTCACAATGTTTCTCATGGCTCGCTCCTTCCTTCCTTCTTTCCTTCCTTCCTTCGCCATTCTTCTTTGTCTCCTTCTTTCCTTTCTCCATTTCCCTCTCCTTTCTCTCTTCTCCAACTCTCCCTTCTCATAATGTTTCTCATGGTTCCTTCCTTCCATCGCCATTCTTTGTCTCCTTCTTTCATTATCCCTTTTTCTCCCCTTTCTCTCTTCTCCAGCTCTCCCTTCTCACAATGTTTCTCATGGCTCCTTCCTTCCTTCCTTCCTTCCTTCCACTCTTCCTTCTTTCCTTTGCCATTATCTTCTTCATCTCTTTCTTTCCTTTCTCCGTTTCCCTCTCCTTTCTCCCATTTCCTTCTCTCCTTCTCACTCTTTCTCTCTTTCCTTCCTTCCTTCCTTCCTTCCTTCCTTCATTCATTCATTCCTTCCTTTGCCATTCTCTTCTTTGACTCCTTCTTTCCTTTCTCCATTTCCCTCTCCTTTCTCCCTTCTCCAGCTCTCCCTTCTCACAATGTTTCTCACGGCTCCTTCTGTCCCTTCCTTCCTTCCTTTGCCATTCTCTTCTTTGTCTCCTTTTTCCTTTCTCCATTTCCCTCTCCTTTCTCCCTTCTCCAGCTCTCCCTTCTCACAATGTTTCTCACGGCTCCTTCTGTCCCTTCCTTTCCTTCCTTCCTTCCTTCCATTATCTTTCTTTCCTTTCTCCATTTCCCTCTCCTTTCTCCCTTCTCCAGCTCTCCCTTCTCACAATGTTTCTCACGGCTCCTTCTGTCCCTTCCTTCCTTCCTTCCTTCCTTCACCATTCTCTTCTTTTACTCCTTCTTTCCTTTCTCCATTTCCCTCTCCTTACTCTCTTCTCCAGCTCTCCCTTCTCACAATGTTTCTCACGGCTCCTTCTGTCCCTTCCTTCCTTCCTTCCTTCCTTCCTTCCTTCCTTCCTTTCCTTCCTTCCTTCCTTTGCCATTCTCTTCTTTGTCTCCTTCTTTCCTTTCTCCATTTCCCTCTCCTTTCTCCCTTCTCCAGCTCTTCCTTCTCACAATGTTTCTCATGGCTCCTTCTGTCCTTCTTTCCTTCCTTCCTTCTATCGTCATTCTCTTCTTTGCCTCCTTCTTTTCTTTCTCCATTTCCCTCTCCTTTCTCTCTCCTCCAGCTCTCCCTTTCTCAGAATGTTTTTCATTGTTCCCTTCCTTCCTTCCTTCCTTCCTTCCTTCCTTCCTTCCTTCCTTCCTTCCTCCCTTCCTTCATCATTCTCTTCTTTGTCTCTTTCTTTCTGTTCCCCCTTTCCCTCTCCTTTCTCCCTTCTCTAGCTCTGAGAGGTGAAGTGACCTGTTGTGGTATGACTGTGAAAGAAACAGGATCAAGTGATGCTGCTAGCTGGCATGTTTCTCATGGCTCCTTCCTTCCTTCTTCCCTTCTATCACCATTCTCTTCTTTGTCTCTTTCTTTCCTTTCTCCATTTCCCTCTTCTTTCTTTCTTCTCCAGTTCTCCCTTCTCACAATGTTTCTCATGGCTTCTTCCTTTTTCCTTCCTTCCTTCCTTTCCCTTCCTTCCTTCCTTCCTTCCTTCTCCTTCCTTCCTTTCTTCTTTTTTCTTTTTTTTTTCCTCTCCTTCCTTCCTTCTCTTCCCTTCCTTCCTTCTCTCCTTCTTCCCCTTCTCTTCTTTGTCTCTTTCTTTCCTTTCTCCCTTTCTTTCTCCATTCTCTCTTCTCCAGCTCTCCCTTCTCACAATGTTTCTTATGGCTCCTTCCTTCCTTCCTTCCTTCCTTCCTTCCTTGGCCGTTCTCTTCTTTGTCTCCTTTTTTCCTTTCTCCATTTCCCTCTTCTCCATCTCTCCCTTCTCACAATGTTTCTTATGGCTCCTTCCTTCCTTCCTTCCTTCCTTCCTTCCTTCCTTCCTTCCTTCCTTCCTTCCTTGGCCGTTCTCTTCTTTGTCTCCTTTTTTCCTTTCTCCATTTCCCTCTTCTCCATCTCTCCCTTCTCACAATGTTTCTCATGGCTCTTTCCTTCCTTCACCATTCTCTTCTTTGTCTCCTTCTTTCCTTTCCCCCTTTCCCTCCCCTTTCTCCCCAATGCTGATTACACAATGACAAGACAGACAACGGATAGAGGCATATGTAAGCTTTTCCCATCTTGGAGGCCATGCTCCGAGAGATTGAGGGAGAGCATCCTAGACTTGGAGGAGATCCCAAAGGCCATCTAGTCCAGCCCCCTTTTTTCCAGGCAGGACAACACAACCTCTGCCCTTCCGACAGACGGCTATCTCTTGCAGCTCGACAAAACCATTGCAAGGATGAAATGGCAGGGCGAGAAAATGAAATGGTCTGGAGAGGGAGCTCCCAATGTACCGACAGCTGCAAAAATTGGCACACAAACGGGGAAGGGTCCAATTTGTAAGGAGGGAGTAAGTACAGTTTGGCAGCCCAAGGGCCTTTTCACACGACTACCACAATTAGCGTGCTATAATCCCACAGACACTGGAGTCCTACACCTCCCTTGTACACCTGTGTGCCAAGTTTGGACCAGATCCATTAAGCTTTTGTGGTACAAATGGACAAACCATACACAAACACACACACACACTAATAGTATAATATGCTAGTAATGTTTATATATATATTGTGGTATACTAATATAGCACAATATAATAATAATGATTGTATATTGTATATGACATGTAATATTACTAATAATATTGCAGTATAGTGGTATAGTATGATATAGAGTCATAGAGTGATAGAATAAAAATATATAATACTAATACTGTGCTATGCTAATGATATAATAATATTATAATGCAATACAATATAATAATATATAGTAATAATATTGTAATGTAATAATACCAATATATTACATATAATACTATTGATAATGTAATAACTTTACATTTAATATTGATAGTAATATTATAAAGTAATACAATAATAATACAATACAATACAATAATATATTAGTATACTAGCTGTGCCCGCCATGCATTGCTGTGGCCAACCTTCCATCCCTCTTTCTCTCCTTTCCCTCCTTCCTTTGCTCCCTCTTTCCTTCCTTCCGCCTTTTTGTTTTTTCCTTCTCTACCTCTTTCCTTCCCCCTTTTCTTTTCCTTCCCTTTCTCTCCTTTCTTCCTTCTCTACCTCTTTCCTTCCTTCGCTTTTTGCTTCCATCCATACTTCTGTCTTTCCTTCTTTCCTTCCCTCCCACTTTCTCTCC